GCATTATATTTATTAACAGTGTATGAAACTCACTTCTAATGTGGTTGTCTGCGCAGTACATCATGTCGGCAGCATGAATGAACTGATATCCAGAGCCTTTCATGCAGAGCTCTATTTCATTGTAGCCAAGAACCACCTTCCCTCTGAAAAGATAAAAATAAGAATGCTGAATCATTATAGCAGCTAGCAGTGGTTGTTTAAATGTAAACAATAAAAAGTTGACTGGAACAAGCATGCTTTAGGAAATGTACCTAGGGTCAATGCCCAAGGGTGTGAAGTCCAGCTTGTGTTTTGTCTGGAAGATGAGTGTTTTCGAACGGATCATGGTGATAGATGGAGCCTGCAGAGGTGTGGCAATAACGAACAGGGCCAGCTGGGGATGCGCCATGGTGCCATCTTCACTCATCTTATTCTGCCCGTGGAGGTACTTCAGCCTTCCCTGGAAGTTCAGGGCCTGTATGCAAGGTAGACAGGGGGAATTAGGGAAGGGGTTCCCTGTTTCATGTGGGTAGGGAGGACCTCAGGAGAGCAGGTGAACTCTACAATGAATTAGTCCTGGCAAAGCCAGTCAAAGGATGACTACTGTCGAGAGCATAAGAGTTTTGAAGAACCTGGCCCAGACCAAACACCACCACAGAAATCATGGGTCTTGTTTTGAGCCTTTCTCTGACAAGTCAGGACCATTAGTTACAGGAACAACAGACTTGTGGTGACGGAAAGTGCTTAATCATTGCGCTTGGCTCAGCCACAGGGGATTGAAGCATTCGCTCATGTTTACCAGAAAGCCAGACGAGTTGTCCAGGAGACAACGGAAACGACAGCAGAAGCTCCGCTCCAGGAAGGAGGAGTTCTCCGGGGGGATGTGCTGGGGGTCAAAGGTCACGATGTTGGTGTTGATATCGCTGGGGCTTTGCATGCCTAGGAAATGAATATGGCAGTGTTACACATGAAACCCTAAACAGCGCAGAAACACGGCCATGAAGATTTAAGTGTGCTATAAGACACAACAAATAATGTCTTACTATTAGGGATCGTTGTTATTGTCATGTTGCACAAGCCGTAAGTGTTTCAACCACATAAAGGCCACTCTTTGAACACAAAGAAAAGTCCTGCACTTCTTGAATTGTGGACTCTTTTAACCAGGACATTCCTACAGTCCCAAAGAAATTTCCCTAAATCGATGGCTTTGCCTTTTTGCCAGCCTTACTGATCCAGAGTGAAAGACTTTTCTGAAAATTTCTGTAGATGCTGGACTACAGCAGAACCAAGGAAGTTGGGGCTGAAATGTACTAGCATTCCCCTCATCAGCTTGACAAGCTAAAAGATAAAACCAAACTCAAAATTTTAACTTTGGCAGTAAGATGGCACACTTCATTCTATTACTTTCACACATTACAGTTTTGTGTGTTCAGCCAGAGTGGTATGAATCTACACCCACCATCGACTCCCTGCTCCGCGTCAGGCTGAGTAGGGTCAAGGGCAAAGTGGAGCTGTCTTCTGAACATGGCGCGGTCGTCTGTGTGGATCAGCTCGAACACGCTCTGGTGGACCACGTCAGACTGTGGGGAGAATCAGGAAAGGCGAAGGAGACACTGTGGTCAGCAAGGATTCAGTGAAGGTCATCGTGCAGTATCCATGGTATTCACACTGATGTCCCCTGCCAAGGAACCTTGAGCCACAATGGCCGCCATGACCTGCCACATCTTCCAGCGCTCACCATTGACCTGAGGGTAACTGTGAACACGTACCCCCCTCAAAGAGCCCTGCTCTTAACAGGCACAAGCAGTTCTACCAACCACTGCTGCTTCGCGGAGCCTTAAACACATGGCTTTTTCAGAGTCAACATGCACATAGGCAACTGTACAAAGGCGGATGATTAGACAAAAGGTAGGAAGTATGCTACCACTGTCAAAAGACTGCCAGACCTCTGCATTGGTACCGCACAATGAAGAAAAGACAATGACCAAATAAAGGCCCAACATGGTAAATCCTTTGAGGCGGGAATACCACCCACAGAGTGACATGTCTGATGAGTTAGTGATTCTAAAGCATGCGTACTCCTTTGTGTTTGCCAGGCTGGAAGTGAGACATCGGTTTGGTATTCGTCGTACTGAATCGGCAATTTCAAGTGCTATTCTGTTACTGGGAGCAAGGGTATTGCAGGTATCAACAGTAAACAAGGCTTATTTCACGGTCAGACTGGCAATGCATGACTCATGGGATCAGCACTCCCGACAGATCCTACAGACGCCCACCAAGAAACACAAACCGATACCGGCTCTCACGCCACCCTCACCAAGCAAGCCATAGTAACACGACTCCTGCTGTTCGTATGCTGGAAAGTTCTGGTTTAAGAAAATGCTATCCGCACCCCCTGGGAAAGAGTAGAGCAAACTCTCGCAAGGACCTTCCCGCAGTAGGAAGGACCCGTGTGGGTTAGGTGGCTTGTGACCACATCACACAGTGGGGTTTAAGGTCTGTTGGGGAGGGTGAGTATGTTGTTTCTAGGACCCCCCACTCATTGGCTTGGGGGCCAAACGCAAATGCTGGTTTAAGTGGTGCCACTGAGGGTAAGCTAATTATTCAGTGACACAACAAATTATAGATTCTGGCTATTTTATTGACCATATACATTCTACTTCGCCACTGTTCCACTGTGGTGTGTCAGTCCCACCAATGTAATGATCCTGTAAACTGCAGGTGGAGCCTGCGGGGGGCATTTGGAAATGCACATCATCCAGAAGTCAACCGTTCTAGTGAATCCATTCATTAATAAATAGACTGCATTAAAGGCAGGCTGGCATCAAGCGATGACATCACACTGGCGCTATGCAAGCAAAGGCTCATGGGACTTGACCGGGAGATGCCTCACTGGCAGTCCATGTTTTCACTCGGGGGTCTCCGTCTTCCAGGAACAAGCACCTCCGTTCCAAAATCAATACAGAGTAGGGAGGTGGACTCTCATAAACAGACATGTCGACCTGGGGTGGGGGTAATGTGTACATGCACCACTGCCAGTGTGTGATAGGAACTGCAATCGGGGCAGGGTGTATTTTCCTGGTGGTTTGATACATACAGTAGTACATGTTGGAGAGTTTATTTTAAAGATGATGACATGCATCTCCAAGGGGCTCACGCTGGTCCCCTGTGCCAGTTTTGCCGAGCAATACAGCTTTCACTATGTTCACCGAGGAGAAAAGGTACAGGTTTGACATTGGAGAAATAAAACAAAAAAGGGTTTATGGACTGGACATGGCCTGACTGTGAAGATATCCTGCAATCGTGTACTGCTGACATAGCCTTGCTGCTGAAAGGGGCCTTTTCGATAGCCTCAACCTTAGCTGAGGCCTCTCCGAATGAAACAATGCATTCTCATAGTAACTTCCTTATTTTATGACTCCAGAGAGCTATTATTCAACGTCCAGCGCAGAACCGGTTTTTCTGGTTTTGGCGCTGCATTTAAGCATTTAATTACATTGCTTGAACAAGTGCTAGTTATCTTCCTTTGATGTCAAGGGAACCGGGGCTTAATTAAGCTGTTGTGCTAACGACGGCAGCCTTAGCAAGTTGGCAGCACAGAGCGCTCCAGAAGAAGCGCAACACAAACACCCCATTTTGGCTCGACCTGATGGGACGTCCCAAGCGCCACGCAAGTAGCAAACCAAGAAAGAGAAAACTGGAAGGAGAAAAAGACGGAACAATCCTTTGTAAGACGATCCTGCTTGGAAGAGGGTTACCTAACTGTCCTTTGTTGTCAAATAACAAAAAAAAGGCTGATTACATAATCATAGTTATAGAATCATGTTCAGTAAAAAGGAAACGGTTGACAAGATGTAAATTGACTGGAAGACATTTCAATCTGCACTTTTTCATAATTTAGGGGCCAAATAAATAGGAAAAGTTTTATTGATGCATTGATGACAGGCCATATGTTCTTATAAATGACAAACAACTGTGTGTGTGAGTCTCTTCGACTGCATCCAGATGAGCAGCTGCTGGAGCCTGGCCATGTGGGAAGGGAAAGACGACACTGCAACCCACCTGATGGAAGCCGAGGTAGTCCTGTACGGTGGGGGACGAGTAGAAGACGTAGCCCTCGGCCGTGACCACCAGGACGAAGCCGTTCAGAGCCTGTTGGGACACACGGGGTTGGCGTGTCAGGAACACATGCAGACGGACATAAATGGCACACACCCAGGCATGCAGAAGTACACGCCCACAGGCGTGTGCAGAAACATGTGCACGGCAACCTCACAGACACACACGCACACACAACACAGTAGTAAACAGCGATGCAACGGCTCTCAGGGGAAGATTTATCCCTGCTGCTGTCGAGGGACCTCCACTGCTCACTGTTCCTTTTCATATCCTAGCCTGCAGGTCCCATCCCTGGGGACGGGTGGCCCGTAAGGGTTTTTTTTTTCTTTTTTTTTCTAACTGTGCCTGGTACGCAGCTAATATTGTTATTGCTGAGCAGAGCATGCGGTGATCCAACACCTTCTGCATTCAATCTCAGATGGGAGCTGAACTGCATGATGGAGACGTCGACAGGCTAGAGCAGCACAGTGAGGACTTCCTGGTGTTCACAGATGTTCCTGGTGGAGGCCCAGAATATACGTTTACGTGATGCTGCAGACCAGACGCAGTCATGTGACCTCCGAATGCTCCTGGGTTTTATTTAAGGCTTTTCTATGGGTGGACGAAACATCCTGGATGCACTGAAGGGGGGAGTCGGGAGCTGGGGAAGCATGGTGTGCTGGGGGGTGGGGGGTAAAAATTCCACACACTTACTGATGTCTTTGTTCAGGTGCTAAACACGTCAACAGGGGAGGGAGAGAGTTTGGCTCCCAGTCACGCGACGGTTCCTGCTCCATGCAAACAATGGATCCCCCCCATCAGCAGAGAGATGGGGGGGGGGATACGGCAAGCAGATTCAATTGATACAGGGAAGGTGAGATTGTCTACGCAAAACAACTTAAAAAGGGAAAGGCCTGCACAATCTCTACCTCTGCTGCCCAAATTCATCAAAGGGCACTTGGCAGACAATCTGGGCTGCATGCTCTCTCTCAGTAATGGCCTGGCTTTCAAACGCCCTCGACGTTTTAAAATGATTAACGTGTTTGATTGAGGAGCAGTACGGAATACTTCCCGGTGGCCTTCTGCATTTGCCTTATTACTTGCCCCATGTTAATGTAGCGCAGCATGGTCATGCCAACGTCTCTGAGTGACTGTGTTAAAAACACCAGTGAAATGTAAACATTGCTTAAGCGGCAGACTTTGGCTGTGAGGAAGAGTGTGTGGGAGCCTGGCAGCGAGCCACGGCGAGCTGGGATTCCAGCAGTCACCATCTCCCAATTAAATGCCAAGTCAGGCAGCTTGGGAAGCTCTCTTGTGCACATTCTTCTGCCCAATTTGACCAATAGTGGGCGCACTTCTCAAAAAGCGCTTTTATTTCTGCGTCTGTGTCCGGGCCAGGCCTCCGCACAGCTAAAACTCCTGGCAGGGGAAGCGGATTTGTTAGATTGGGTTTTATTGGAATCTGCATTTTTCCAGCAATAAGGGAACACAAGACGTTTCTGTCAGTGCTGCCAAAGAATGCTGCTAAATCTGGGTGGGGCGAGACGTGTGGGGAAGGAGGCAGAGCGCAGCAAACCCCCGTGTCTCCAAACGTCGGCTACCAGGGCATTCTCGCTTACCCACCACTGCTCACACAGAGTATTTCCATATTTTTTCTGTCGGCCATGAGTTAAGCTCCTGGTCTCAGTACGCAGCAGAGCTTGAGTTCAAATGACAGATGAATCTGGCATCATGTGGAACTAAGGGACAATAGAAAACCCTGAGAGTGACAGTTAGGAAGGACCAAGGCCTTGGTCAGTGCTGAGGATATATGCCAAAATTTTGGGTTTTTTGGGGAGAAAGTCACAGTGTGTTTCCTCGGGGGATCCTGGATTGACAGGTACAAGACTTTCCAGCGCACAGCTGTGGCACCACGCAGCATCACGTGAGCTTGTGGTTTCAAAAATCACGGGTTGTTTACGCAGCGGCTGACAGCTATGAGCGACATCGGGCTGCGTCTCCACCGGCAAGGTTTGCTAACGAGCAAACGGAAACCCACAGATAACCCCTGGCTGTTCTGAAGGCCGGGCCAAACACGGGGAAGCTGATCTGAATGTAACAGAAAATCCAAAATACATAAATATGTTTGAAGGTTCTGGGTGCAGCAACTGCATTCTGGAAAACTTACCACAAAGATCATAGGATCGCATGCCCTGAAATAATGAGCTTCCTTGGCAGAATCGCCTCTGGCAGGCTACGGTTATATCTTACAGCCATGAGTCTGGCATCGAGGCAGAGGGAGATGGCGTGTGTGTGTGCGCGTTTTATAACCTTCCCAGGAGGGGTTCAATATGGCTATAGCCTCCACTGCTGCCCTGTGGGGTCAAAGACCCTGCAGTCAATGGTAGGATACTTGCATTTTACGATAGGGGAGAGTGTCCGGGCACAGGGGACACTGCCTGCATGGCACCCGCTTACAGGGTAACGTTCGCTCATGGTGACGAAACGTCAGCAGCCGCCAAGCACGTTCGGCGAACACGGCCGAATTATCGGGGCGTTGGATTCTCGCTGCACCGCGAATAAATACAATTTAGACAAAACCAATATGGCGGCTTAAAGGAGAGGTGGGGGGCCACGTTTATGGGCGAAGGCGGACACGCAGCCGGAGCCGGTTTCAAAGAGCAGGGTGTTTCGTTTCAGATCCTAGCCTCTGGGCGTGTTCGGTTTGAACTGGGGCAAGCTGACGCCTGCCTCTTCCCTGCCCGCCTCTTCCTTGCCTGTCTGCATCTCCAGCTAAATCTGTAGGGAGAGGTCAGGGCCAAGGGTACTCCACAGCCCCTTGGGTGGGCCCCCGTGTAGGCCGGCGGGGGGGGGGCGGACCCACCATTAGGCAAGGGCAGGCAGCTGCCTGGGGCCCACGAAAACTAGAGGCCCCATGACGACAGAATAGCAACCTGTATCTTCACATTTTTAGCGACAGTTTCCAGGATAAACACAGATGCCCCTGTCCAGGCTGTAATAGACTATTCTACTGTGAGACTTCATGCTACCCAGCTTTCTTTTACCACTGGAGTCCACTGGCTGTTCACTGCCAAGCAAACTAGCACAAAGTAAGAAGAAAACTGTCTTGGTACTTAAACGAAAGCAAAAGAGGGAATAATTAAACCTGTCGACCCTCTGGCACTTTGATTAGAACATTTTTGATGTTCCATCATTTTTTAATTCTTTCTTGTTTTTCTTTCAGCTCCAAAAATATCCCCAATGTCCCACTTAGAGGGTCCCATGTCAGCCTGGGGCCCCCAGAGAGGTTAGTCCGTCCCTGGTCGTCACCAACCTGGAGGAGGAGTTCACCCTCGGAGAAGGAGACCCCATCGATGGTGGACGTGCTGGTGCCGTTGGTGCCATATCCCGCCATCCAGCCCAGGCTGTTCTTCTTTATGGTGGCTGCAAGAGAGACAGAGGAGATGAGAGGCCTCATGTTAGCATATTGCAAAGAAGCAACTTGCTCTTGTTCATTCTCTTTTGACACTGTTTATACGCTGCAAGCCAACTTCTTAAATTTTCTTCATTTTTCATTCAACCAACAAACCCACTATTCCACCCCCCGTCCCCCTTCCTAGGCCACAAAACTGCCCCGTTTACCCTTCACACTGCCCCAGGTGACTTCAGAGGAAGTCAAAGCGAGGCTTACATCAAATCAAAGGCAAGCCTCCCTACCACGCCTCCCTCCCTGCCTGCCTGCCTCTTTCTTCTTTGTTTTCATTCACCCTCCTTCCCTAGAGGAACTAGAACAGCCTGGGATTAGAGGCCAAGGAAGGCCTCAGTGTAAATGTGCTGTGCAGAAGAACGGAACAGGAACGTGGCAGCCATATATGTTCTGGACCCCAGTTCTCCGCACCTCCATGCTTGCCAAGGACACACCGGCGACCATGACTACAGTAATCGTGTCTGGAGTGATCTCGGATCGTCAAGAGATGAGCCCGTCCACAAAGCAAACAATGGTGCAGTGACAGGTCGCGCTTGTGTTGAGCAATTTACACCAGAGCTTAATTCTGAGTCAGCACCAGACAGACAATCCTGCAATTGCAGCACGAAAAACGCGGTTACTTTTTCACAGTCCAGAAGTCAGGTGGGAAATGAAGTCATGCGACAGAACATAATCCCGCGCCAAGGCTCTGTGGCGGATCGATTACATTACGTGACACTCCTGAAACAGCTCAGCCAAGCCACAGAAGAGAGACACTCAGACATTAATCAGAATAGGCCAAACTGGTTTTGTTTCGCTTTTACTGGTGCTATTGTTTGAGGGCTGCATGTGTCACACGGCCATATAGTCACGTGTGACCCATGCACGAGCTATAGGCCAGTGAGGGAGCGGATGAAAGCGGCTGACCTTGGAGGCCACAGCCACGTGATACAGTGTGAACGGCGGCAAAAATCACGGTCCCAGGGCTCCACAGTGCACCCACTTCTCTGGCAGATGCGAGTAAAAATGCCAAACGTGAAAAACGTGAAAAAAGATTTAGGCGCACTGGTGTGAGTTACTTGTAACATCGCCCCAGAAAAACTGAAACATCAAAAAGCACTCAGTGGCTGAGTGAGTCACACTTCATGCACACCGCCACTTTTGCATATATTTACATGTCAGTAGCGTTTCAAGCTACAATTGGCTGCTTCAGAACCAGCACGCACCTCTTCAATATGATAGAGATAAAGAGTTTTGTCAGATTTAAAAGCACAAAATAGGGGTGGGTGATATAACCTAAAATTATTATCAACGTATTTTTCACTTTTTGGACGGTGATGGTATTATATCATAGTATCACTTTTTTCCAGGTTTTGACAGCAGAAGCAGGGCTTGTCCCTTCGTGTAAATTTATATTATATTATTATAAAATGTATTACATTTATATTTATGTATTATAATATATTAAGTATACTTTAATTGCTATTAGATTTGGGCATGGGCAGTCTTATTTCGAAAAGATAAAAAGTGACGTAGGTAATGTTCTCATATTCATTTTATAACTGCCAGAGTAACAACGCAAAGAGACTGACGAGCTGTTTCAAGCGAATACGGTGCATTTTGCAGCTCATTTAAAATAAAACGCAGGGTTGCCAGTTTTGATCAGCTGACTGGAGTGAGATTTTCAACTTGAGACAAGTCTGCACACACATGCACATGCATATACATGTTCGCAAAAGTTTTATTACCTTGTAAATAGTCTGTAGGGTTTGCGAACTACCCCAGCGATTTGATGTCGCTACTTTTAGGTTTATAATGGTGTGAGCGTAACACCTGATGTGTGAGTTGGCAACCCTGAAAACGTACATTTTTTTGTTTCATCCGAGTTGATATTTTATACAGCTGATAAAAAAAGTAAACTTTGACGTATATGAAATCACCAGTAAATTGTGCCTATTTATCTCACATTTATAAAATACATACTGTATTTCAAAACTTTTCAGCTGTATGATTTCAGGACAATCTGTTAGGAAGATTACGGCTTTTTGGTTTAGGGTGTTAGATTCACTGCTGATATTAGCACAGACAAAAGGACTGAATAGGCACTTTGCATGAAGGCAGCAGCCCATACAGTACATATGCTTTACTGTTTAATTTGCTACTATATATGTATGTAACTGGGTTATTTTTGTTTAATGTGTACAATTAATCAAAATCTGTTTATTTTGAATTTGTTAATTTGCTACCAGGACACGGCATCAGAGTATAATAGAAAATTCACACACCAGAGATAAACTGGTTACATACATTAAAAGTAAAAAGCTAGGCCAAGCCATTTTTTTTTATCAAATGTGGAATTTGATAAAACATCAAAAGAAATCCCAGATACAAAAATAAAAATCTAGTTTCTTGACAGCTTTGTCTGTCATTCGTAACCTTTCCATTCCATTAGCTTGTATGTGAAATTGTATTATAATGATGCATTGAGTGCTTAAAAACAGAACTGACTGTGCTCCCAGATTTATTTCTCTACTCCTAATTTTTTTTTCAACTTAGGGGCACCTTGGAAAAAAAGAAGTCAGCGTAGAGCCCTGGGTCCCCATGTCAGCACATGCCATTCCCAGAAGTCCTCTGAATAAGGGCACATGCAGATGCAGCAGGCTTGGGGGGGGGATTAAGGGATACAATGGCCCATTCTTTCAAGGACTGCCTCCATGGTGAACCATAAACTAATGCAGATGGTCAGGAGGTGCAGTAACGAACGAAGATGCCTTGTGACTATCACCATTACAGGGATTAACCGGCACTTATCTCAGGTGACTTAGTCCTTTATACAGCGGCTACTTTGCAAGAGCGACTCATGCTAGCTATTTTGTTCAAGGGCACGTCAGAAAGAGACCTTCCTGGGGTATAAACGACAGCCTTTTATTTCCATGGCACCTGGTGCCCAGCGACTAAGGGTTCTCGTTCAGAGCTACTAGGACCCCTCAGGTGAGGCCTGTCCCCGGTAGAGAGGCCTAGCGAGGGTGCAATGCCTATACCGCAATAGGCGGGGCAATCGCTCACTTCCTCTCTCTCTCACAGACAGGGAGCTATTTATGGAGTCAGCTGCTTATCAACTATAAAAAAACAAAACAAAACAAAAAACAAAAAACCAGCTGGAAACCCCAAATATGTTCCCACAGGACACAGATGTTTCGAGATAATTCTGGGGAGAATGTGAACCCGAAGGCAGGCCGCTAAACGAAAACGCCATGTTTAAATTGTCATATGCTCTAAAGTCGAATGAAAAGATGGGATGAAAAGGCAGTTTTGACAGACATAGCTCTAGCTGTGTTTCATTGTTTATTCATATAATATTTAGGGGACTGTACATAGTACATTTTTCTGATTCTTAGGATTACCGTTTTAGTGACAACAACAACAACAACAACAACAAATTTATTTTTGTATAGCGCATTATCACAACATTACATCGTCCCAAAGCCCCCAGTGAGTAAGCCATAGGCGACAGTGGCAAGGAAAAACTCCCTAGAAGGAAGAAACCTTGGCAGGGACCAGACTCAAAGGGGGAGCCCATCCTCCATGGGCCGGCAGGGAGAGTCAAATACAGTTAAATCTACAGTTAAATGACTGTGTCACTACAGGCGTAAGGGAAGATGTCAAAGGGGAGCCCATGCAGATGTTAGCAGAGTCAGTGGAGACCGTGGTCCAGGAAGCAGATGGCAGATACAGACGCGGCAGGTTTCACGCCCTCTTTCTCCGCTACTCGCTTTGCGTGTCTGCCTCTGTGGTTCTCCACACCTCGGTTTTCTAAGTTAACCCACGACGCCGACACCAAGCCCCGTCTCCACACCAAAGGCACACGCACGTCGGAAACAAAGCCGTCGTGGAAACGGTCCGGATTGTCACATGCTTGCACGTCAAGTCATAACTACATTAAATTGATCTGGTCAATAACCGCAACAAGAAAAGGAGAACGGTAAACGTTTCTGCATGTCCCAAACTGGGCAGACCTTGGCAACATGTCACCGGGTAAATTAACAGTCTTTGTTTTTAGCTTTGAGTCCTTACAAATAAGGCAATATGAGGCCCATCATTAGCCAGAGTATTTATAGAAATCGCTCAGCTTTTTGGCTCAGTGTAATTATTACACATTTTTCTTTTATGCTGAATTTTTTTACACTAATATTATGTTTCCATGGCATGAGAATTGCCTGCTAGGGCACCACCATCTTTCAGAGGGGGGGCATCATGGGATGGGGGGGGGGGGGCACACCTAAACACTGCATTATTATGAGGCTGTTTAACAATGCCTGACATGCCCATCGGTGTCTCAGATCAATAACCCTGTTGACCTGGTGGACAGACACGTCAAGTGTCCTACGTCACTCCTGACTGCCCTGCAGGGAAAATGTCTCACAGGACAAGTAAGCATAGAGGATGGATGGATGGGTGTTTCCATACTGCCAGGGAACGAAACGCTGTTGCTGTGTGAATGCCTTACGAAGAGTTTATTCAGACCCTTTAATCTAAACTCTCCCCATGATTTGTTTTGTTAAGGTCTTACTGCCGGAGGCAAAACTTCATGTATGCAACAGGCTGAGAGCATCTGAGCGCTAAAGCCAGCAGACTGGAAGCAGACAACAGAAGTGGTTTCATATTGAATCTTTTGCATTTTTTTTTTTTTTACAGAAAGGAAACGGTTCCCCTTTGGCAGTTTTACGTTGAGTAAGTGGTCAGTTTTGGACTGGTTCTCACCTTCGGTACGGGCTGCGGCCCATTTCTGAAACTCCGCACAAGAACTCAAGCCATTGCAAGCAGTCATTTCCCGGCAGATCAGCCCTGTGAGCCTTTTGTATCTCAGCAATGAAATATGTGCTGTGGTCAAACAGAAAAGAGTGCTCTGTTTGAGGGGGATCTTCACAGCTCAACTTTGGAGTTCTTCTGGGAGGGGGGGGGGGTGCTGGGCAGACCC